GGCTCCGGTCGCTCCCGCCTCCCCGGCGCTAGTGGCGGCCGCAGCCGCGCACCCGGGCCGGCCCGGAAGAGCGGAGGTGAGCCGGGGCCCGCGGGGCTCGGGGGCCGGAGCGGGGCCCCCCAGGGCGCGGACCCTCCCCTCCCCAGGGGGGACGCCCCCAGAGCACAGGCCCCCGCCCCCCGCAGCAGGCACCCCTGCTGCCCCAGCTGGGTAGCATCCACCTCAGGCGGGGCCCCCTTCTTTCCAGCCAGGTCCCGCTCCACGGGCAGGAGCATGGCCCCCTCCCCATCTAGGTCCTTCTTTCCGCTACCAGGATCCCCCGTTTGCCTATCGTGGAGCTCTTCCTTTTATATCCTCGGAGTCTGGGGCTCCCTTTCCTCCCACGCCAGATCCAGGAGTCCCCTCCAGGCCCTCACCCTCCACCTTTCGTCTTGGAACAACCCCGCCCCTCCTCCCCAGAGCACTTTCCTCCCGTCCGCGGGCCCAGCGCCCCTTTCCTCCAGAGCCCCGCCGGGTCTGCCTCTCGCCCCCGTGCAGAGCCCAGCCCCCGTTCCCTCCAGAAGCCGAGGGAGGGGTCCCCTCGGTACGGGATCCCGGTCCGTGCCCCCTCTCCTTTGGGCTGGAGCGGGCCCCCTTCCCCGCCCTAGGTTCTCCCTCCCCACCCCCACCCGCACCCCCACGGCACAGCGGGGACGGGGGCGGCAGAGCCAGGCTCCAGCTGCCTTTTGTTCCGCGTGGGATGGCAGAGACCCCGGGCGGCGGTCCTGCTCGGCTCATCGGGGTGGGTGAATGGGTGCGTGGGGGCCGGCCTCTCCAGGAGACCCTTCTTGTCTGTCTCCGTGGGGCTCCCCAGGAGCCTAGCGCGTTGGGAGAGGCCGGCCCTTCCTAGAGGAGTCCGTGCCGACAGGTTTTTGTTTGCGACCTGGAGTTGGCCCAGTGGCTTTGCGGGCGAGTGGGGAGGGGCAACTTGCTCTCCTCCGAAACCCCAGCAGAGGCCCGTGAAAACCCATTCCTCCGTCCTGGGGCTCCGTCTGGGCTCCCTTCTCTGTTTTGCTGCCCTAGACGCATCTGAAGTGTGTGCCTGAAGAGAGGATGGAACTTAACCATCATCAGGGTTAAGGTGGGGGAAACTGAGGCCCAGAGAAGCAGTGATTTGCCCAAGGTCACACGCAGTGATACTGTGTCAATTGCCAGAACTAGAAGCTCGGTATTTAGGGCTTTCTCCACCACGTTTTAGATTTTTTTTAGAGAGATGTTCAGGATTACTCCTCTCCTCGTTTATTTTTAACATTCACAAAGAAAATGGGCAGGAAAAGATGAGAAGTGTGAGTTCTTTTCCGCCTCCAGAAAATGCCCTGTGAAAGAAGGGATTGGAACGGGGGTTAAAATAATTGAAAAAGGTGCATTTTAATTATCCATGCCCTCCTCTCCCCCTCCTCCCTCAATTACATAAGATTAATGAAGATCTGGCAGAAAACTTGTGCATCTGTAGCTCTAGATATCCGATGATAGGTGCTGACAAAATCATGTGCTGAATCCTGCATGGCAGTGATTGAATTTGCAGTGATAATTAAGTTTTCATCTGTATTTAATTGAAAATCGAAAGAGACTACAGTTTGTTTCTGAATGGTACTTATTCCAGTGATTGTGTTTGGGACTTTGGGACAAGTGATTGTGTTGGAGAAGTCACCAAGATCTTCTCATCTTTTGTTTATCTGTGTTTTAATTCTTACATTGTTAAAGCTTATTTGTTTCTTTAGTTTTAATATTGGGTTAGTCATCCTTACTATTCACTGGGCTCACTGGGCTATTCTTTTGTAAGTGTTGAATGAGATACTGGCTATTAAAGTTTGGTAAAGTGCAAATTACTGTAAGGCATGGTTCAGGACTGCATCCCACAAGCCCCTGGACCAGGAGCAAGTTCAGATTGTCCTGTGGGGTGTCCTGATCTCTCCTGGTTTGCCCACCTTTGCCTCCCTGAACTCTGAGCTTGCAGATCGGGAGCTCTGTGGAGAACTCTCTGCCAGCAAGCTGTGTTGTGCCAAGTACGTGTGTGAGGTGTGAAGAAATGTAAAACTTGCGAGCGATGATACCTAGCATGGTATTCGCAGTCTTGAAAAATGACCCATCCTTTGTAGAAATCCTCTGTAGAAAGACAGTTGCCTCTTTATGTAGCTATCTTCCATAATAAGGTGTGGATTTCCCAATAGTTGGGATTCTGATAGGAGTCCTGAAAAGTTTTTTAGACTCTGATTTGTTTTAATGGCTTGGCTTTTCCTGAACTTAAAGAATGGGCATTTTTTTTTTTTTTTTAGATTTCATTAGGAGGAGTGGCAACTTGCAGTTCTTTGTGGACTAAGGTGCTAAGAGATTTTCATGCATGCAGTTGTCGTTGTCATACTCTTGGGAAGTGCATTAAAGTTTTCAAAGCTTTTTGGCAGTTGTTCTCACTGTTCCCCAGAATCTTCCTGTCATATTGGTGGGGTGTGGATGACCATGGTGGTTGTCATTTTATGGCATGAGTACCTGGTGACCCTGAGCCTTGGAGAAATCAAGGGCTTGGATTTTGGGAATTTGAGGTTGGGGAGGATAGAAGGTCTTATCTAGTCCTACTCCCTCGTTTATCTGCTGGACTTTCAACTCACGTTTGATTTAAACAGACCTCTTCTGTCAAGCCTTTGCCAGCCAACTCCACCAGTGTCTGGGCCCCTCTGGTCTCTAAGCTTCACCACCCCAAACAGTCTGGTGGAGCACTTATCATGTTGTCTGTGTATCTGGGGCTCTTGTGACACTTGGACATCTTTGAAGCCAATGATTGCCCTGTCTTTCTTTACTTCTCCAGCACCTAGCTCAGTCTCTGACCTGTGGTAGGTACTCAGTAAAGGTCTGAGGTGTAAATAAGTAGTCGTGGGGGCAGGGGAACAAACTTTTATTGATCCCTTACTACAGGCTCCACTGTTCTGTCTTGCTCTTGCAAAGACCACTGCTGTTGGTCCAGCAGTTATATGTAAGTCACGTGGGTATTATCCCCCTTCTACAGCTTAGGAAACTGAGACCCAGGGGCTTAAGTCATGTGTTCAAGGTCACATAGCCAGTAAGTCATGGGGCTGGTATTCGAACAGTTCTGTTGGATCCCAAAATATTGTTATGCCTGTTACTTCATTTGAGGAACCGAGTCTCACAGGGAGGAAGAGACTTGCTTATAGCCCTTCTGCAAGTTGACAATGGACTGAATACCGTGGGATAATAGTTAAGATTGTTGAGGGTGGGAGAGAGCACATTTTGCTTTTGTCGGATGCATTATGAAATGACTGTTTATGACCATCTGTTGAGTTTTTGAAAATTGACAAGCTTTCTCATAAGTTCCTCAATGGAATTTTCTGTGATCTTAATTAGCTTGTTCAGGGTGTCTAAAAATAGAAACTTAGAAAATCAGATACAGTGAAATAAGTGTCCGTGTGCGTCAGTGAGTGTATTCAGTGACATCTATCTAGGGACTCGTTTGACCAGACCTGTTTTCAAGTCAAGCACTTACGTTGTTTGTGTCTTGAAATGCAAAGCTGTTTCTGCAGACTTTTTTTTTAAGATAATTTCATTTTGTCTTCACATGGATGTATAGCATAGGGATTACCACCCATCCGTGAATGGAACAACTGAGGCCCAGAGAGGTTAAGTGACCTTGGAGGGACTGGCACAGACAGGAGGCAAACCCAGGTCCGTGTGGTTCCCAAACTTGGGTCCCTCCTGCTCCACCAGCTCCTGTGGGTCGTCATTTAAATTATAGGATAAACTTGTGACCTGAAAATCACCAAGTTTATTTAGAAGGTTGGGACTTGTGAATAAGGAGGTTTCTGTCTTTTTCCTAACCTTAGGATCTGTGAAAGCACTGCTGTTTGAATGTTGAGTTTAATGGAGCACTTTAACTGATAGATGCTAGATTTAGGGTTTGATTAAAAAAAAAAAAAAAAAAGCCTGCTTCCTTTGAACCACATCTGCAACATTGTTAAAATGCTCCCTGTATGTGCATTGGATTCTTCCTGGTGACTCATTCCCAGCATACCCAGGTACTGGAGCCTGCTTTGTGCCTGGGCACAGAAAAGCTTTCCTGTTGATCCTGGTCTAGACAGAGTGTGTTGCATTTTCAAGCCCTCTAGAGATAGAATGGGTAACTTAATTCTCTTTCTGTTCAAGCAGTGCTAGGAATTGGGTGCACAGAGGGCTGCAAATGAAGGGACCCCGCCCCACCATGTTCTCTTCATGGCAACCTGGCTGATAAATGGAGCCTGGAAAAGCAGGCTCATCCTGAGGGGTAGCTGACCATTTAGGGCTGATGCATGATGTGGATTTAAAAGCATCTATAATTAATCACTTCTGAGTGCAGGCTTCATCGTCCCTCTCTCAGGATTTGGGAACCCCAGCCCAGAAGATTGAATGGGAAGGTGTGTAAGGTGTCAGCACTGGCTGGCTGTGCAGGGGAAACTCAAGAACAGCAGTTGCTTTTTGCCTCTGAAATGCTCTGAATACTGCTCAGAAGATGATGGCATGTCACTTGGGAAGGGAATTTGGTTTTTCAAAGAGATGTTTTCACTTTGTTCTTTCATGATTATAATTTGGACTGTGGTCACAGATATCACTCTGTGGGTTAGTCAGGATGTTTTCCTCAGTGAAGGGAATGTAAGATGTCCGTATCCTTTGAAGAGGCAGTAAATGTAGGATTCTGTTTGAAAAGCTGGTTCATCATTCTCACACATCAAGCAAGATGCTCACCATCAAGGCTTTTTAGAAATGCAGCTGGGAAAGGACAAGGGGGAGTGATGTTGGGCACCAAGCGGACTCCCACGGGGCCCTTAGGGATGGCCAGTGGTGTTAATGGAAGTCACTCTTCCTCCCTCCAACAATTCAGATTGATTTAATATTCTTTGGTGTTTAGAGTTTGGGGAAAAAAAATTATTTTCCTCCAGTAGTAATTATCAGCATGTCCATCAAAAACAAACACGTGGGTGTGTGTTTGAGCCCTGATGGTTTTTGAATGTCTGCTGTGTGCCGGGCTCTGCACTACTGCTTTTATGCACAGTA